ATAATTAATGAAATAATTAAGTTTATTAGAATAATATAAGAATTAATCTACATAATTTATATAAATAAAAATTTTAATTTAATAATTAATTTTAAAAAATATTAATTAAAAAAATAAAATTTTAAATATATCGTAAAATAAATTAAGAAAACACCGTCATGTAAAAGAAATGGATATGCAACGAAATTGCATCTCAACGCGGAGTAAGACTCCGCTATAGCTCCCGTCCACTAGAAACTTAACACATCAGCTAGTTTGCTCTCCGTTTGTCTACTTTACTCCGTTACCATTTGCACACCATTGCCCTGCATGAGAAATAAAAGTTTCGTCGAATTGATTTATTAATTTAAAATTTTTAATTTAAAATTAAAATTAAATATTTATATCTTTGTAACATCTAATAGTTAATTTCTAATGTATAAGAAAAAAAAAAAACCCACGGCGCCCTGCCTTTTAACATTAACTAACCCACATGGCTGATATGTTGAGTTTTCAATGGACAATGTCCGTGACTGTGAAATTTAAGACTTTTTTTTTTACTGAATTTAATAAATAGTCTATTAATTATTATTTTTGATTTATTTTATCTACTAATACTTTTTTTTTTTTATCTAACTAATGTATTAATAAAGTTTGTATCTCTTTCTATACATTTTCTCTCATATTGTCTAGTTGGTAAAAGATCTGTCTATGAATTAATGGAAATTTAATTCATATTGGTTGCCACATAGACACCACATGGTCAATTTAATTAATATTATAAAATTTAAACTTCCAATTATTAAAATTAATTTTTTAATTAACTAAATTCTAAGTCATGGTAAAAACTAAAAAGTGAAACCCATCTAACTTTTTTTATAATCAAGTCTCCCTTAAACTTATCTTAGAAAGGTCTCAATTATTTTTTTTAATAATTGATCTCACTTGAGATTTAATTTAGTCTAATTAAATTAATAATTTTTTTGATTGAATTAAATTAATAAATTTGAAACTAATTCTCATAAAAACATAAATTTGGAACTAAAAAAAAAAATAAAACTAAGACCTAAAAGATGTAAAAATTTGCTTTGGAACTTAATTGAATAAAATTAAAAGCTTATATTTTAAAACATGGACTGTTTAACCACGTGGCACCTATGTGACAGCTCATCTATGTGGCTGGCACATATGTGCCAGCGGGGATTTCTGGTAGTCCCATGAGGGCAACTTTAATGGATTATATGTTGATACAATTTTGAAAATCAATAGATTGGTTAGATAAAAAAAATAGTTAATTGACAAAATAGTTAAAAATTAAGGCAATAATTAAAAAAGTATTTATTAAATTTACCCTCGGAGGAGGAAAGTTCTTGATGGGGATTCAAAATGGTGAAAATCTTGACCTTTTTTTCTTAAAAAATATAACACATTGAAATCTCACAACAACAAAAATTTTTGCATAAATCTGATATATAAATATAAAAATCAATTATTATTAACCATTTAAATTTAACTTTTAAAAACCTATAGCCTTGATTCGTTGAGTCAAAGAATTGTATTGTATCATTTCAACGACTGTGTCGGATATGCACCTTGTCCCTGCATCGCATTCTATCCCAAAAGGTTTTGAGGTCGTCCC